CAGGTGTCCCCAGGTGTGCCCCAGCTGCTCCCAGGTGTATCCCAGGTGTACTCCAGGTGTCCCCAGGTGTGCCCCAGCTGTCCCCAGGTGTGCCCCAGCTGCCCCCAGGTGTACTCCAGGTGTCCCCAAGTGTACTCCAGCTGCCCCCAGGTGTACTCTAGGTGTCCCCAGGTGTGCCCCAGCTGCCCCCAGGTGTATCCCAGGTGTACTCCAGGTGTCCCCAGGTGTGCCCCAGCTGCCCCCAGGTGTATCCCAGGTGTACTCCAGGTGTCCCCAGGTGTGCCCCAGCTGCCCCCAGGTGTCCCCAGGTGTGCCCCAGCTGCCCCCAGGTGTCCCCAGGTGTGCCCCAGCTGCCCCCAGGTGTATCCCAGGTGTACTCCAGGTGTCCCCAGGTGTGCCCCAGCTGCCCCCAGGTGTGCCCAGGTGTGGTACCTGTGTGCCGCCGCCCTCGGTCCTGAACACATACTTGACGCCGGGGTCGGGGAAGGTGGCGGCCGATTGGATGCTGGCGATGGCCACGCTCGTGGGGTCCTCCCCGGTGGCCACCGAGCCTGGGGACAGCCACAAGTGGGGAGGGGCACCCCAAAATGGGGGGGGGGCACCCCAAACTGGGGGGAACACCCCGAACTGGGGGGAGCACCCCGAACTGGGGGGTGGAACACCCCAAACTGGGGAGGGGCACCCCAAACTGGGGGGAACACCCTGAACTGGGGGGAGCATCCCAAATTGGGGGGAGCACCCCAAACTGGGGGGTGGAGCACCCCAAACTGGGGGGGTGGAGCACCCCAAACTGGGGGGAGCACCCCAAACTGGGGGGTGGAGCACCTCAAACTGGGGGGAGCACCCCAAATTGGGGGGAGCACCCCAAACTGGGGGGGTGGAGCACCCCAAACTGAAGGGAGCACCCCAAATTGGGGGGAGCACCCCAAACTGGGGGGTGGAGCACCCCAAACTGGGGGGAGCACCCCGAACTGGAGGGGCACCCCAAACTGGGGGGGTGGAGCACCCCAAATTGGGGGGGTGGAGCACCCCAAAATTGGGAGGGGGTGGGGGGGACTAAAAGTGGGGAGGGCCTGCCCCAAACTGGGGGGGTGGAGCACCCCAAAATTGGGAGGGGGTGGGGGGGACTAAAAGGGGGGAGGGGGTGCCCCAAACGGGGGGGGAGGGATCATTCCGAACTGGGGAGGGGGCAGCACAGCAGGGGGGGCATTCCCCTCCCCCCAACCCCTTCACAGCCCCCCCACATTCTCCAAACACCCCCCAAAAACCCCCCCAGAGCCCCCCCATAACACCCCACAGACCCCACAGACCCCACAGACCCCAAACCCCCCCTGAACCCCCCCCATAAACCACAAAACCCCCCCCAAAAAAACCCCATAATCCCATCACAGCCCCCCCAAAACCCCTCCCCAAAGACCCCAAAACCTCCCCAAATCCCCCCCAAACCCCCATTTCAGGGTCCCCCCTCACCTTCCTGGATCTGCACTGTCCCCTCCTCCGTCTCGGCTGCTTTTTGCTGCCTGAGGGTGCCGGAACCCCAAAGTGAGGGGGGGGTCCCTGAACCCCCAAACCCCCCCGAACCCCAAATCAAGGACCCACCCAAATCCCCCACCCCTCGTGTATCCCACCCGTGGGGCACTTTTGGGGGGTCCTGGGGCAGTTTAAGGGGTCCTGGGGCCATTTTGGGAGTTCCAGGTTGGATTTGGGGTGTCCTAGGGTGGATTTGGGGGTCTGGGGCCATTTTAGGGGGGGGTCTCTGGTCACTTTTGGGGGGTCCTGGGTCATTTTGAGGGGTCCCAGAGCAGATTTTTGGGGTCCCAGGTGAGTTTTGGGGATGCCAGGTTGGATTTTGGGGGTCCCAGAGCAGATTTTCGGGGTCCCAGGTGAGTTTTGGGGATGCCAGGTTGGATTTTGGGGGTCCCAGAGCAGATTTTCGGGGTCCCAGGTGAGTTTTGGGGATGCCAGGTTGGATTTTGGGGATCCCAGAGCAGATTTTGGGGGTCCCAGGTGAGTTTTGGGGTCCCAGGTGAGTTTTGGGGTCCCACTCACCCCTTCATGGCTCGGCTCCCTCGGGCATCAGCGGGGCGGGAGCGGAGGAGCCTCACGGCTTTCAGAGCCCTGCGGGGACAGCGGGGTCAGGGACATGGGGACACGGGGACAGAGGGACATGGGGACATGGGGACACAGGGACAGAGGGACATGGGGACATGGGGACAGAGGGACATGGGGACATGGGGACATGGGGACAGAGGGACAGAGGGACATGGGGACACAGGGACAGAGGGACATGGGGACATGGGGACACGGGGACAGAGGGACACGGGGACAGGGGGACAG